AAATTACTCCGGGATATTGGTTTATTTCGACTCAGAGGGAGTGTCAGCCATGTTAAAAAAGTGAATAATTTAAGTAATTTGTGGATTAGTGCTTACTGGAGACGCGAACCGTTTCAAACGATTCAGTCCGATTTGGTGAACTGGTTCAACCGGTTCACTAAGAAGAACCAGTTAAATCGAACGATTCGTTCGCGAACCGGACATCACTAAAAAATAGGCGAGGTGCATATCTTTAGCGAAGCGGCGCGGAGAGATAAAAAAATGTTTTATTTTAAATTCGACTAATATTCATTCTTTATTCACAATCTCCTCATCACAGGCACAGTACTCATTTCAGCATGTGTTTGTGTGTGCTGTCTGCGTCACTCATAGCACGTGCCTATATCGTGCGCTATATCGAACATTTTTATATCGATATCGAAGAAGCTGTACCGTCGATAAATATCGATACCGTTTTATCGCCCAGGCCTAAGAGAAAGTTATGAAAATGAGAAGCAAGAATATAAAACTATAAAACTATGAAAACATAAGCAACTATGAAAACATAAGGAAGAAGCAAGTCACTGAATGGCATCTTTGGTGCATAATTTATCCTGCACTGATTGATACATAAATGATTCCTGAAATCATGTGATGTGCGTTTACTTCTCCAAAAGATTAGAATTACAACTCTCCACACTTTGCACCTGTCACCATTACAGGTGCTTCTGACCCTATAAACTCTGGTAGTGACTGGCCACACAGACTGTGTCCATGACGATAACATTCCTTTCCAGCATCCTGCATAATTAAAGGAGTCTGTAATTGGCAGAATCAGCCACTGGGTCAGTTTACAACCATTAGAAGGTCTTTTAATAGTCTAACGGCACGACGTCGACACGTCTCTACTAGTGCAGATGAGTGAGGAACGCTGTTTCCTCAGTGACTACAGCTGTGAGGTCCAAAATTAGTCTTAATTACATAATTATAATGACATAATGCACTTATGAAATAAAAGATTTGCAGAAAGTAAATTACAGAGTTTATATTATCAACTAACAATATTGTAACAACTTGCAATGTAACCTGACCACACACAGTTTTACACCACTGCCTTGTTATCAAACCGAGATGAACTATTATATAAATATATATTTTTTTAAATCGGTAACTGAAATAAAGCTAAAACAAAATATAAATATGAAGAAAAAAAATTACTTAAATGAAAATTATAAACATTGTCTTGATAACTAACATAAAAAAGTACTAAAAAATTAATAATAAAACAAAATAAGTACTCAAATTAATTAAGTAAAACTGAAGTCAAATTAAAATTTAAGCTAAACAGAAATATGAAAAGATAAGCACATCAAAATACAAAATTGAAAATTAAACTATAAAAATAAGAGCTAATTCTAAATAGCAGTACTACAATAGTATATAAATAATAAAATGACACTGCATGTAAAATACAAGAAAGCAAAGACTATTTAAATAATACTGTTTATACTGTTTAACGTTAACTGTGTTCCCACTGAAGCTGTGCATAACTATACAATCACATGAGCCATCTTTAATTGTGCTTTTATGATATCTTTGGAGCCTGACAGCCTCCATTTACTCTCATTGCGTAGAGCAGCCTGGACATTATACTAAATGTCTTCTTTTGTGTCGCACAGAAGAAACATCCTGGTTTGGAAATCCATGAGGATGTGTATATGATTAGTTTGTTAAATATCAGGATACAAGTACAATTACCTAATAAACACACAGAGACTCTATTAAATAAAGAGCAGGTGTGTTGAGTTTCGGCTGTACTGTGGATCACAGAGAGTTAAACTAGAGGACTCACCAAACCATACTGACTATAAAGTCAAACTAGCCAGCTTAGAATTAACTTAGCAACTGCTCAACAACTTAATTTATGGAAATACTAGTGCCTCCATAAGACACACCGCAATGTCACCGCCTGACCTTGGTTTTCTGATCCCCAAAAAAGTCACCAGGGTCCGGTTTCCCGCGAAACGCCCACCATCATCTCACCTAATCAGGTATCATTAGCAGCTGCTGTTCTCCTGTAAGCTACTAAAGCCTGACCATTGAAACTCGAGCAGACAGGTGTTTATCGCGAGCAGCAGAACAGCATTTCAGTACAGCACGGTTAGATAAACAAGGGTTTAGTGTCTCGGATCAATGAGCTCCGGTTCTTGAGGAAACAGCATGTGAGATTCAAAATATATCATAATTCCTACAGGCTTCGTATAGATGAGTGTTACACAGTAATAAGCTGTGGAATAACTCTAGAGGAGACTACTGGCTGCCATTCATCCATTTTAATCAGCTTATCGATATCCAAAGGACTCCGGCGACGGGATCTCTCGTTAGCGAAGGAAAGTAGCCGTTGGAGGGTGAAAATAAAATATAAAAACCACGAAACGGTAACGGTACGTACCAGCGGTTCGGTGTCCACATCATTTCTTGGCGCAGAAACCCGCTGCTGAGAATTAGCGAAGCTGTTAGTCGCGGTTACAGGGTTTTATCCCGCTCGGTCCCCGCAGACAACCACTGATATACTGGAGGAGAATGTCAAGGTTTGAGAATGTGTATTAGGTGAAGGAAGTGATGAAAAGTGCTCTGTACGGCTGGATTTGAAGGCAGTTTAGACGGATGCTGCGGTAACGGTGACCGAGGTCTGCGGTAAAGCCCGGACTGGATCTCTTCCCGAAAAACCTGGAGCTGGTGAGACGCAAAACAAGGAGCCTGGACTCTGTGATGGAACCCGTATGCAGTTTCTTGTGTGTTTTATTAAGAATTAAATGTTTAGAAGTTCGATTGGTTTGTTTCGATTGGTTTGGCAAACATCAGACCTTATTTTATTTGCCATTTTGAATCTCGTTACAAATTACTGCAAACCGAAAAGCTCATTAACCCATTTAACCAAATTTTTCTCAGACATGAAAATATCAAAATGATGTGTCATTAGTAACCCTATTATACATAAAAAAACTTATACAAAACTGAATAGGTATACTAAGATACAAAAAAAAATGTGTTATTATCCCACTGGTCACTATTGTTGCCATCAACATGTTTACTCATGTCCACACTCAACAAAACTAAATAATTGTGAATTCATATATTAATACTAGACACCTTAAAGATAATGTGCACCGAAAATCTTTGTCATATCTTTTAGCATACGTTACTAGCCTTCTGTTTTGGGGCTTTGCTGCAGCCATCATCTTCTCATGGTGCAAACAGGAAATAAACTGCTCTGGTCATGTGACAAATTTGCTCTAAACATGTGAAACTGCACATATTTAATTGAGACCCTTTATTTTTTCCATATTTGCAGAAAATGCACTAAAACACCAGTCAGTAAGGTTTTTAGAGCTTTATAAATGAAAACCTTCTTTACGGTTACTATTGTGACCAGTGGGATTAAATGGGTTTTAAATTAGCAAACATCCTATCATAAAAATTATATGCGCACGTCACATACTTTTTAACAGTCAGTGTCTATTTAAACAAAAGTAAAAAAGTAAAGTTTTTTATTTTAATAAGTTATAAATAATAATTACCTTAATAATAATCTGTTATTAAGTTAACAAAGCGTTATAAGGTTATTTATTATAAACGTCTAAGAAGACCTGAAACTGAGTAGCCTATTTTAACCTAATAAATTATTAAAATATGTGTGGCCATCTTGAACTGAATATTATTTTCCTGCATCAATTTCAATTTATTTATAAAGCACAACTAAACACAACTACCGTTGACCAATGTGCTGTACAAAGTAAGTAACCATTAACAGAATTAAAACAAAGACAAGGTCATAAATAAAACTGCAAAGCAAATGCAGCAAATGCATAATAAGCCAGATCAAATAAAAATTATAGATTTAAAAATGGATAGTGTAGGGGCGGTTCTGGCGGTTCTGAGAAGACTATTCCAAAGTCTCGGAGCGGCGAATGCTCGATCACCCCTAGACTTGAGTCTGGTTCTAGGAATCACTAAAATTGGCAGACCTAAGCGCTCTTGCAGGTTGGTGGTCAACAGATCAGAGAGGTATGAGGGTGCTAAACCATTTAAAGACTTAAAAACCAATAAGAGCACTTTAAAATTAATCCTGTAGCGCACAGGTAACCAATGTAAAGACTGAAGGACAGGCAGGGTGCGAACTACGGGGGAGCTAGGGGGAGCTCGGCTCCCCTTAATAAGACATGGGCTCCCCTGAAAACGTGA